GGGGGGGGGGATTCCGTTGTTATATATGGATTATGTGTCTAAATTTAGTGTCAGGACTAACATGTAAGATATGGGGCATATGCCACTAGGAGATGTCATGGTTGGGAATAGCATAGGGAGTGTCAAGGTCTACGTCACCGTAGGAGATGTCGGGATCTGGGCTACCGTAGGGGATGTCAAGGTCTGGGCTACCGAAGGAGATGTCGGGATCTGGGGTACCGTAGGGGATGTCAAGGTATACATCACCGTAGGAGATGTCGGGATCTTGAGAACCGTAGAGGATGTCAAGGTCTGGGCTACCATAGGAGATGTCGGGATCTGGGCTACCGTAGGGGATGTCACGGTCTGGGCTACTGTAGGGGATATCAAGGTCTAGAACACCGTAGGGGATATCAAGGTCTGGGGTACCGTAGGAGATGTCGGGATCTGGGCTACAGTAGGGGATGTCACGGTCTGGGCTACCGTAGGGGATATCAAGGTCTAGGGCACCGTAGGGGATATCAAGGTCTGGGGTACCGTAGGAGATGTCGATGTCTGTGGAATTGTAGGAAATGTCGAGGTATGTGGTACCGAATGAGATGTCAAGGTATGCGGTACCGTAAGAGATGTCGAAGTCTGGGGTACCGTATAGGATATGTTGTTGTCTGGGGTACCGTATAGGATATGTTGTTGTCTGGGGTATCGTAGGAGATGTCAGGATCTGGGTTACCGTAGGGAATGTGGAGATCTTGGATACCATAGATGTCAAGGTATGGGGTACCGTAGGAGATGGCAAGGTCTAAGGTACCGTAGGATATATCAAGGTCTGGGGTACAGTAGGAGATATCAAAGTCTGGGGTACCGTAGGAGATGTCAATGTCTTGGTAACGTAGGAGTTGTCGAAGTCTGTGGTACCGTAGGAGATATCAAGGTACGGGGTACCGTAAGGGATGCTAAAGTCTGGGGTACAGTAGGAGATAGCAAGGTCTTGGAAACGTAGGATTTGTCGAAGTTTGTGGTACCGTAGGAGATGTCGAAGTCTGTGATACCGTAGGAGATGTCGAGGTCTGTGGTACCGTAGGAGATGTCGAGGTCTGTGATACCGTAGGAGATGTCGAGGTATGTGGTACCGTAGGAGATGTCAAGGTCTAGGTAACGTAGGATGTGTCGAAGTCTGTGGTACCGTAGGAGATGTCAAGGTCTTGCTAACGTAGGATGTGTCGAAGTATGTGGTAACGTAGGATTTGCCGAAGTCTGTGGTACCGTAGGATGTTTCGAAGTCTGTGGTAACGTAGGATTTGTCGAAGTCTGTGGTAACGTAGGATTTGCCGAAGTCTGGGGTTCTGTAGGGAAAAGTCAATGTAGGAATCTTCAATCCTTTAACAATTGCATCCATTAACAACGCTGGAAATAGAATACATGCCACAGATATTAAATATTAAATCGACAGCATGCGGTCTCTTTTATGTAAGAATGGTTGCCAACGGCAGCAAAGATTGTCTTTGTGCGAACAATAGGTGTATAATAGGTAATTTTTCAAGCGTCTGTCAGCAAACTCAGACCCCCTTCGATCGAATAGAAAAACGGCTCATCAAAACGACCAGGACTGAAGGTTACATGATGCCCAATACAGTTTATGCTATTTAGTTCACGTGTACTAAGTTTACCGTAAGACGTGAAAAAAATAGTATTACGTTTTTTCTATTGACTTGTCACGAAAAAACATATAAAAATGGTACATAATTTAACTATATTGCCTTTGGCTATCTACACAAGTATATGTTCGAGTTTTGATAAGAACGTCAAACCAATCGTCGAAATACAAAGGTTTTTTGTTCTAGATGCACTTATCTTATTGTGAAAAGGTATGGGGTCACCTGCCCGACCACATGGGCTAACATCCGGGCCAACAAGAGTTGAAATAACTTGTTTCATAATTGTTGTAAAACAGATGCTTTTTTTATCTTCTCTGCGCACATGTAGAGAAAATACGCACATCGAGAACAGAACCTCTGATTTTGAAGTTGCGTCAAGCCTTCGTCAATACATTATGAAGAACCGTTGCGAGGTATTTTTCGAAACGTTGTACCCCACGTTTTAGTTTCAACAAATTTTATTGGACAAAAAATTGCACAACTGGATAAGACAACAGGCTTAGCCTATATAAGTCTTCTCCTATCCGGTATTAATTGACAAGAAGCATAAATTTAGTACATGGATCAACGAGACACACTCATATACACTTACAACTATACCATTTCACACATACACCCTCACATACACCCTCACATACACATAATAAATAAGCATTCACAAACACACACACACACACACACAAGCCCTTACTCAAAATTTAAGATATACATGTTTATACATATAAATAAATATAAGCATAAGAGGCAATGAAAACAGTCATAATTTTGATTAAATCTGTTAGTAGCAGAAATGTATTGCTGAACTTTTGAGTGAATAAATAAATTATCATCAGTAGATAGATAAACATTACTAGATGTAAGTAGATCAACAGATTTGAATATCCAAAATGATTAGTGATGTCAGTTATGAAATGTCTATAGTTAATATAAAGTGGACATAAGAAGAAATAATGTTCAGCATTTTACCCCACGTGCTTGGTTATACACTATTGTCTATATTAAACATAGCGACGAATCGTTACATTTTTTGATTGTCGCCTTTCTATCTGATAGGAGACCCATGCGCTGTAAAATATTCAAAACAAAGTAAGATATAGGAAAATAAGCCCAATGATTGATATCTGATATTTGTTATTTAATTGGTGAACCACCGTTATATACGTCACGGCGCGTTAATGTGGTTGAGTATATACATGCGCCAGCTGTTCATACACGAGAATATTAAAATTGACGTAAAAAAGGTCCAGATTATTCTGACCGCTGGGCAAAAAGATGTTACAGTAACTGGTATAATGTATGTCAAAGTATTGACCTTATTTAAAAATCTAGATAGAATGTGCCCCTAGGTCAACAAGCTGTGTGGCCAAATCATGAGGTCGGTGCTGTCGTTTCATTCCGAAATAATTGGGGCAAAAGTTAGCTTGTTTCGCTCCGGGTCTTTGCATTTCTGTGGCAAGTTGTATAAGCGACGTTATTAGAATCTAAATAAGTCACTTATATATCGTTATTCATATAACTGGAATAAAGGTTTGTGTACCTTTTCAGATCCAAACTAGTTCAGTGGGTCGTACGAGTGTAATAATGGGGCTCTCATCAGGTGCTCAAATTAAATGAATGACCAAGAAGTACTACAAACGTAATCACAAAGTAATGATTTCACGACAATGCTCAGCCTAGTAAAGAAAAAGGACGGATGTGTTATTAATATCATAAATGTATCCTATGGAGGTTTAGAAATTAGTGCAATTCATGGATAATATAAGATCTGTAGAGACTTTCTGTTCATCCTAGTATGATAAATTCTAAAACGTCAGCCTTAAGTAAAGTAGTTGAATTGGTGTCTTTAATATTTACCATGTTCTGCATTCCAAAACAATAGTCACTTGAGCGTTTGTTTATAAACTATTCACTGTGCTATTTGAAGCGGACTGCCAAGCGTCATATTGACAAAGATATACATGGCGTCTCACAAAAACAGCTACACCCATACATGACAGCTACACCCATACATGACAAAACCAACACACTAACTGTTAATGTAATTAAAGAAGAGATATTGAGAATGTTTATTCGGGGATTACCCTACTGTGTTTCAAGATTTGTGGGTATGCCGTGATTATACAGTTCCAAATGGAGTTGTATTCGACACAGTGCGGAACCAGTAAAACGGATACCCTAGCAAATCAAAATAGAGCAGGGTTATTCCCCTAATCCTATTCCCTTTCGTTGTGTTTTCCATGAGGCGAACGATTCAGTGACAGCATAACAAACCAAATCACTCCTGTGATGCGCAGCTCCTTCAAAAAGTTCATTTAAAATGAACAACATTCAGGTATTTTACGGTTCGTGATTTATTTGATTAAAACAAAACTTACAAAACCAATTCATCAAATACAATAGGTTGCTCTACCAGTATACTTTTGTTTGTAGAAATTCCATATTAAGCGTGTAGGAATACATAACATTGTACTAGCTAATTTGTGTTGATGTTTCTATAAACGCAGAAATAACATTCTCCCAAATCATATAGATTGATAAAGTATTTGTATTCACATTTCAAAACGTACTACTATGCGGATTCCCCGTCGTCCACACCGGACTGTTAATTCTAATTTCATCGACAATTTTCACGTGTTCATTAAGGGGAAACTAAACACAGCACTTACGCCCCTTCCACACTCATATACAGAATCACGAGAAAATCAAGCATACGAGTGTGACTAGACAGCGACTCCTCAATCCGTGGGAAAGGTCTGTTGGGGTTCATTACTCGACAATGCTTCAATATGGATCTGCCTCGTTATGGGCCACTCGAATAGGGATTTTTCCGTCTTCATTTCACAGGGTTCTATGCTACCACATAGCTGGTGCAACAATGTTTTTTATTGGTTGATACCCATGGATTAACGGACAATAGACAACGCACGCGTCCAACAATACAGGCACACGCAACGTTCTAAATTTGATCGTGGAAAAACGGAAATGTGTATCTCTTTATAAACAAACAGTAACACCGTCCACTTGTCTTTAAAACAACGCACTACAAGCGTATAAATCAATCAACAAACAATGCCAATCTCCTGTAAACTATAAATAGTAGTTTTCATGAAATTAAATTCCTTTAGCATGTTTAATTATTTTCGCTGTATGCAGGTTGCATGATGCGTTCCCGGCTATTTCCTGCCCTGGCGAAGCGAAATCACTTAATAAAGCGTTTGCACACGCAGAGGAACAGCCGCATTAAATACTGGATTATATAGGTCACGTCGCCTTATTAATGGACAAAATATTCATTCGTTATTTGGACTTTTAGAATAGAGATATTCAATATATATTTGTGTACTACGATTGGACATATAACTCGGGAATTCGAAAATGTGGGGACAAAAGTAATTAGATCCTATTTTTCTTCCGTAATTCTTCGTTGTTTATTCCACCCTTCACAAGTACATCATCATGGTGATTATTTTTGAATTGGGCTTCATTCAGACGAAGAATTGGCAATGATGCCACAACATCAGATGCTACTCAATTGCTTTATTCTGTTAAATAGACTGATGACGACTTGTTAATTGGACACTGACCGACGCGAAGGTCTCAGGTGCAAATGACCAGACATCATCATCACTGACCACTACTGACAGTCTGTACAGTACGTGACTCATGAAAATGCTGACCAGTAGCGATCCCTTCAAGCTGATGGTTGTTTCGCACCAATTTAAGCAATTCGATCCTATTTCAAAAAAAATGAAAACGCCAGTTGACATTCATTGTATGAAAGCCAACTAAAAGCAAGCAGCTTAAAAAAAAGATTGAATAGAACGGCCATTTTGCAGGAAGGGTCAGTCTTTTCCAACGTTAAAATTAAGAAATCATGACTATGATGACGTCAATAATTGGGTTATGACATTCATAGCTGATATGAATGTCAATTGAAATAAGTTTTGTTATATAGCGGCAATGCCATACATATAAATATTTGTAATTCAGCTTGCTGGGTTTTTCATCTACATTTTCTAGACGCCGTCAATGAACCTTATACCGAATGTCGTTTAATAAGTGCGCAAGTAAAGTTCCCTGATAAGTGTTTACTTAACTGATGTTGTACAGTAATAATTCTTCTAATCTGCGTGTGTGCTTGTTAATGTCTGCTGGTAAGAGCAAGAAAACTCGATCAAACGTAGGGGAATACGGCAGCCTCCAGGTCGATAACTACATGTTTTTCTAAATCTTCATTTTGAAGTGCATCAAATTTAATTGTTGGTGGTCAAAATGTACCTTTTTGATTGACGTTCTGAAACTTAATATAATTTTAATGCAATATGTGATGTCATTTAAAATTTTCCATTTTGAACCAAAGAAAAAAGATTTACTGCCAAAATACAATCGGAAATGCACACATTACCTTGATGTGAAGCTTTAATGTTCAAAGATACGTGTACAGTGGGTCCTTTCTGTTTTTACTCTTTCAAAATCTGCTATTTGGTAACTTGATTTCTAAATTATTTACTACATGTAGAATTTTCCTATCCCATATCTATACATTTGCTAGACTTGACTTATATATAGATGCTATGTTTCTGGTTAACGTTTTCTAAACGGAGAAACATGTCACTCTTAAAAACAAGTTCGGCTAGTTTCAGATTTTTATAAATCCATATGTTATATTTTCGAGTTTTCTTGTTTTTGCGTTCTGTTAATTAACCCTCCTTTTAACATTTGATTGAGTCAAGTTCTTCAGCTCATATGATATTTTCTATCAGTAACCCATAGAAGTCGTACTGTATCGCCTTACCTTGTCTTTTTGAGGGTAGGTGACGTGGTCACCAGTGGGTGGGCAACCATTATCCATTATATTTAGTTATTCATTATCATCCAATATATATCCTGATTACTGGAAAATTGCTCATGTCACGCCTGTATTTAAAGCTAATGATGCACGTATTTCTTCAAACTACAGACCTATTTCACTGATAAGCTGTTTAGAAAACATATTTTATTTCATTGTTTATGTCATACATCAAATTCATAAGTACAGGATTCAGAAAAAAGGATTGAAATACTTATATGAATATGTCGCCTTAATTACTAACAAGCGGATGACAACACTACAAAGTTAAACAACATCGTAAGAATATTATATGTATTAAAGGACAAAACTTGAACCATAAGAGAGAGAGAGAGAGAGAGAGAAGGGGTGGGGGGGGGGGGGGGGGGGGGGCATCCATTATCCATTATATTTAGTTATTCATTATCATCCAATATATATCCTGGTTACTGGAAAATTGCTCATGTCACGCCTGTATTTAAAGCTAATGATGCACGTATTTCTTCATACTACAGACCTATTTCACTGCTAAGCTATTTAGAAAACATATTTTATTTCATTTTTTATGTCATACATCAAATTCATAAGTACAGGATTCAGAAAAAAGTATTTAAATACTTATATGAATATGTCTCCTTAATTACTAACAAGCGGATGACAACACTACAAAGTTAAACAACATCGTAAGAATATTATATGTAATAAAGGACAAAACTTGAACCATAAAAGAGAGAGAGAGAGAAGGGGGGGGGGGGGGGGGGGGGNAAATGGAAATGACTTTAATCGTGACTTAGTGATACTACACTGTAGGCTACATACAATCGCATACTATAAGATAAGTGAACCCAACATAGGTAAAATAAATGTTGTAAATCATGACAAAGATGCTAGTTATTTGAGCGTGTGGTTTATAAACACATGTATTTATTTTCTTACCTAACCATTCTACCACTCATCAGCTCATTGAACTCTATCACTCATTAATTTCTTCATTGGAAAAATATGAGCACACTATTCTAATATTCTGTGATTTTTCGAAGGCATTGGTCGTGTGTGGCATAAAGGTCTTCTACTACACAACTGGAGAATTATGGCATTTCAGGTCAACTTCTTCTTTGGATCAGTAGCTATCTTTCTGATAGAAAGCAAGCAGTATTTATTAAACATTCAACTCCACCAACGCTGGTGTACCTCAAGGTTCAGTTCTCGGGCCTTTATTTTTCTTAATGTATGTAAATGATATTTCATGCGAACTCTTCTATTTGTCCAGACTTTTCGCTTACGATACATCTCTTTTTTACTCCTCTCTCGACCTGAACCAAATAGAATTAGAAGCAAGTTCTAATCTGAGGAAACTTGAAGTTTGGTCCAAAGAGTGGATGATGTCTTTCAACCCCATCACAACTGAGGCCCTTATCATCTCAAATCTGCAGCTTCCGTTTGTCCCATCGTTTAACTTCGATGGTACCCCCATCAAGATTACTAACCAACATAAACACTTAGGTGTTTTTATTTCTAACGACTGTAAATGGAACTTTCGTGTTGATTACATAGTTAGTAAAATAACAAAATATAGTGCAACCCTTCGTAAGCTCAAATTCATCTTAAAACGGAACAACTAAGAGAAGTTATTTTTTATCTATATTAGACAACTTCTTGAATATGCATGTGAGGTTTGGGTTAACTGCGGTGAAACTAACTCCATAACACTGGAGAAAATTCAACTAGAAGCTGTTAGAATTGTCACTGGATTGCGTATTTACACACACACACACACACACAAAATATATATATCAGGAAACTGGCTGGTTACCCCTCGCAAAAAGGGGAGATGCTCGGGAACTTTCTCTATCTTATTCTATTGTTAACAATATGGCACCGAATTTTCTTATTGACTTGTTGCCAGATTATGTTGGAAATATAGTCCCATATGATTTACGAGGAGCTCACCTGCTGAGAGAACAACAGTTTCGTTTACATTTATCACAAAATTCGTTCTTTCCTTCAGCAACGAATCTTTGGAATAACCTGAATAACGATATTAGAAAGTCACCCTCATTAAATTCGTTCAAGTCAAATGTTAAAACGTCCTTGCTGGTGAACAGTAAATCAAGTAAGACATTTGTTAAATATGGATCTAGGAAATTAAATATTCTTCACTGTCGTCTAAGAAACCGAGCAAGCCCACTTAACTATGATCTTTTTATAGCCAACCTAATAGATTCAGCAGAGTGTCGATGTGGGCATCCCTGTGAACATCCTTATCATTTTTTACTTTTTTTGTCCCCTATATCAGAACTTACGTAGAATATTATATACAGATTTAGCATGGTATGATGGTGTTATTGATTTAAACTTTCTCTGTAATGGTGACGCAAGTGTTCTTCAAACGATCATACAAAAAATACCAAATCAGTACAAAATTTTCTAGGTCGGTCGGGATTAAGTGATTTAGTTGATTAATTCTCTGCTTCTCAATCTATACCCTCACCCCCCGTTCTCTCTCTCTCGCTATGTAAATATGTTATGTATGTTATTTGGAGAAGTCATCTATAAGTTGGAAAAACTAACTGACTAATCCTATTGTCATATTATATGTCAATAAAATGTGTTTAAACTAAACGAGTGGGTGGGAGAGTGGGGGTATGAACAAATCTTCTTGAAATCAATCGTTTGATACGAAGCGAGACTGATTTATCCAGAGATACATGGTGATGTGCTCAAGACGTCGTCAGGACTAGTAATCCGAATTGGATACTGTCATCATGTGGATCAGTCAACACCGATAATTAAGTGTACAGAAATGTCGTGTCGAGACACTGTCACCCCAGATGGTGCAATCACCATCATATTGCCTTCAACTTCCCTGAAATAGTTTGCTATTAAACTTGCAGAATCAGCTAATGAGGTGCGCTTGATTGGCGCGGACCGCTGGCGGCAGCGGAGACAACTAAAAAGAGCGTATTACTCACTTCCGCCCAATCCCACACACTACGCCTAGATCAGGTGGGGAGAGGCGACAATGTTTTTGATATTATAGATTCCAAGTGTATAACATTCTCAACAAGTACAATTAAATGTTAGAAAAAATATCATCTTTCTAGTGTTTGGCGTGTTTCCTGTTGACAACGTCTTTAGAGACACTGTCTGACTGTTATTCAGTGCAGAATATGAAATAACTAAAACATTTATACACTAATATATCTATATTTTTGTCACAAGATCTTGTTGAGGTATCAACGTACTTGTACAATTGTACAGTTCTCTACCGTATTAGTAATGTCTCTATTCAATTAAAAAGTGATTTTATTGACCATACTCCCCACGATGTATATCTTTGACATTTATAGCAGAACAAACAACCGATGAAATGTGAGTAAATTGGGAACATCTATCATTAAAAGTTCCGTTCAAAAGCATTTTATCTTTCTAGTATATAAAGTTGCCCGTGTATGCCGCTGTGAAGCCGAATACTATGACGTCAGTACGTACTTTACATAATAGGAAATGTGTAAAATATATTTCATAAATGGCACTTAAGACTTATCTGAAAATTTACTGGTGACTATTTTGAAAAGAATGTAAAATACAGGCAGTGATGATTCTAGCTAGACAAGAAGTTTAAAAGTATAAGGTGATATCGTAAAAAAGATTTCAACGGGAATTACTCAAATACAAATCATAGGTATAAAGTGTAAGGTAGGGTATATCCTTAACTTTAACTTTAACACAAATGAATGGTGTTTTGAGTAAGTAAGCAAATAAACTCAAGCCTAACACAAATAACAAATATAATGTGTAAAATAGCATATACCCTTAATTTTAACACAAATCACATGCATAATGCATGTTAAGCACATATCCTTTTAATTCTCACATAAATCACAGGTACAATATGTAAGGTAACAATGTGTAAGGTAACATATAACCTTTAGTCTATGACCAATGACAGGTATAGTGGATACGATAGCATACAGCCGTAATTCTCAAATAAATCACAGGTATAGTGGATAAGATAGCATACAGCCTTAATTCTCACATAAATCACAGGTACAATATGTAACGTAACAATGTGTAAGGTAACATATAACCTTTAGTCTACGACCAATGACAGGTATAGTGGATACGATAGCATACAGCCCTAATTCTCAAATAAATCACAGGTATAGTGGATAAGATAGCATACAGCCTTAATTCTCACATAAATCACAGGTACAATATGTCAGGTAGCAATGTGTAAGTTAACATATAACCTTAGTTCTAACACTAGTCACATGTATGATGTGTAGGTACATGTAGTACATGTACTTTGTAGATCTCATTATACCGTGTCATACATTGGACCAGCTGCAAACCAGTCATGTTTGTGTATACACCTAGTCATAATTAGGCAAAGTCATATTTTACACAGATACGATACCAGCATCTTTCTGGAGCCGACATTTATCATTATTTGAAATTTAACGACTTACGAGCCTAAAATATTAACGCGAAACCAGTTATTGTCAGCTCTCTTACACATTATACCTGTCACCGAGTCAGCATGAAGTAACGCGTTAAAGCAAGATTATAGTCCGTTAAACAACACGATCATAAAACTAGTACGTGTACGTGCTGTTAGATTCCTTTCCTTGGAAAATAAATCACCTGCTGTATTCACCAAAAGTAACGTAATAAGCGACTTATTATATGAGTGTGTGGGGCTGTGTGGGAGGTCGTAGTAGTGTGTAGCGCTGTGTGGGAGGTCGTAGTAGTGTGGGGCGCTGTGTGGGAGGTCGCAGTAGTGTGTGGCGCTGTGTGGGAGGTCGTGGAAGTGTGTGACGCTGTGTGGGAGGTCGTAGTAGGGTGTGACGCTGTGTGGGAGGTCGTAGTAGTGTGTGACGTTGTGTGGGAGGTCGTAGTAGTGTGTGACGTTGTGTGGGAGGTCGTAGTAGTGTGTGACGCTGTGTTGGAGGTCGCAGTAGTGTGTGACGCTGTGTGGGAGGTCGCAGTAGTGTGTGGGGCTGTGTGGGAGGTCGTAGTAGTGTGTGACGCTATGTGGGAGGTCGCAGTAGTGTGTGGGGCTGTGTGGGAGGTCGTAGTAGTGTGGGGCGCTGTGTGGGAGGTCGCAGTAGTGTGTGGCGCTGTGTGGGAGGGCGTGGTAGTGTGTGACGCTGTGTGGGAGGTCGAAGAAGTGTGTGACGCTGTGTGGGAGGTCGTGGTAGTGTGTGACGCTGTGTGGGAGGTCGTAGTAGTGTGTGGCGCTGTGTGGGAGGTCGTGGTAGTGTGTGACGCTGTGTGGGAGGTCGTAGTAGTGTGTGGGGGATGAATTGTCTCCCATGACACTCCCCACTGTCAGAATAATAGCCAAAGTAAATACGTCAAAGTCTCTGTCTATTAAATTAATTTATGGTAAGATCGCACCGTAAAGTACCACCTCCATTTGAAGGTTGGCTCAGTCAGATGCGGGCTCTTTGTTAAGTCGTAATGTCCTATCAACACAATGAAGTCATGCAGGGCAACGGCTACATGTATATGACGTTAGGCGTATCAGGAGAGAAGCTGAACTAATATTGTTGTCCAAAAATAGATAACAGCGACAAGGATACAAGTTCCAGGTACAAATATTTCAATTTGTACAGCAGTTCAATGTTGGTTTCCTTTAGGCCCTCTCAGCAAAAGATACAGAAGAAAAATCCCGATTATGCAGGCGGTCCCACGCTAGTCGCCTCATACTATCGTGTAGTGGGGTACGGTTGGCCATTACTTTCCCGAGTATTTAACGGGTTATGCGGTTGGTAAAACTGCTTTCATATGATTTATATTAACAAAAAGTATTTAACACCGTAAAAACACTTTCGACCAACAAAGATTTGATGGTGATTTAACGAGCTCGCAACAGCCAAGGTCACGTGGAGACGGAAACCGCGACCAAGTCTACAATATAAGTCGCTGCAATAATTACACGACTTTGTGACGTTACATGGCGGCGGTTTAATTACATAAGAGAGAACACATGATAGAAACATGCGGATAACATGTTAGCGTTGTCGCTGCAATTGGAATAAAAGAACTGCGATAGAAAATTGATACATGTAACTTGGAACAGAGCACGGATACACTGAGCACAATTTGCATTTCTTTCAAATGAAAAACTTCAGTTTTTAAATACCAATTTGATCATGAAATCAATTATTTAGATGAAGAAAGCGTCCTTGAATATAAAGAGCTAGACTAGAGTATATAGCACATCAAGACTACATCAGCATGCCGCGATACTTATATACGAGATCATATTAATGAATGAAATGTGGCTAATAACTGTCATAGTTTTTACACATCTATTTAAAATCCTTCTATTTCCTACATTTCTGACAGCCTTTTAATGTTCCACCTTGATAGTATGACCAAACATCTAATGAAAAATGGAACCTCTCACAAAATGCATGCTTTGTCATATACCGTAGACACGGTAGTCTAGTGGTACGACGCCGGGCTCGTGACCGAAGGGTTGCGGGTTCGAGTCACGTCACGGCACTGTGTTGTATCCTTGAGCAAGATACTTTACTCCGCTTGTTCCAGTCTATTCAGCTGTAAATGAGTACGTGGTTGGGTAGTGCTAGAATTGTTGAATACTAGATGTGAGCGCCAAAATGGCAGCACTGGTTGTATGCTCCCCAGAGAGTTGAGAAACGTATTTCATGGCTGGTTGCAAAGGCCCTATAACCACGGATAATAATTTGTGAACCGCTTTGAGACGACCTACGAACTAGGTGTGATAAAGCGGTACATAAGAACCTCGAATTTTCTTATTATTATTATAATAAAAAGTGTCTGAATATAAATATCTGGGTGTAGCAAGAGTTTATTAAACCTGTGTTACTGATTAAAAAGAGTGTTCGAGATATAAATGTTAACGTCCCAATAACAAATATTCCTGATTATAGCAGTGTTCGAGACATCGATGGTAAAGTCACAATAACAAGTTATCCTTATTAAAGTGGTACTCGACAAATTGACTGTAACTTCCTAATAACAAATGTTCCCAGTTATAGCAGTGTTCGAGATATCGATGTTAACGTCCCAATATAAAGTGTTCCTGGTTATAGCAGTGTTCGAGATATCGATGTTAACGTCCCAATAACAAGTTATCCTTATTAAAGTGTTACTCGACAAATTGACTGTAACTTCCCAATAACAAGTGTTCCTGGTTATATAGTATAGTGTTCGAGACATCGATGTTAACGTCCCAATAACAAGAATTCCTTAGTGAAGTAGTATTCGAGATATCGATTGGTGCTTAACGTATTATAGTATTATAAATTTCTAGCCGCGTAAGAGTGGTTTATCTCCCCTCAAATAATTCTTATAAATAACTTTCAAGAAATGGGATTTCTTTTGTTGCCCTATTATTGGTGACATAGAAGATTTCAAATTGGTTTACTGCTTACTTACAAAAAAACAAAATCTTATATTTTTCTGTATCGTCTGCTCTTAGTTTCCGTTATTGTGTCTCACGACAGTAACGATACTGGATGACACATCGTAAGGTATCTGCAACATATTTCTCTTGCTAGTGTCTTTAATGTATAGGAGTCCAACTCGGGGCTACCTGATTTTGACGAGTCAAGTGCTATACTACTTTAAGTAAACAGGGCTAGCCATGGACGCGTTTCCCCAATGGCAGACCTTGTTCTCGAGTTATGTGTTCTACAGCAATGCTTGAGAACTAAGCGTGTAAAGCTTGTTTCCGGCATGACTATAGCTTTGATCAATGAAAAGAAAACCACACCCTTCAGGACTTTTATGAGAAATGATAAAGATGAAATAAACAAAACATTATCAACAATAGTATTCTGTGTGGAAAACAAGTCAGCAAAGCTAGTCCGGAGTTGGAACACTGGACACTTATGATTGTTATAGAATGTACTATCGCTCCGACAATTGAGCTCCCTGGTCAACAGAAGTGTCCTGGCACAGTTATAGCCAAACGAAAGTTAAAGGGAGGTTACTGGATATACGGAAAAAATGGCTGCTGATTCCTTTTCTATCAAGCCTCTCTGACCATGACGTCACCTATACATCAATGGACGAAAACAAATCGACTAGACTAAGCCCGTATCGTATTAAGATCGTTGATACGGGTCGTTAACGGAACAAGGAGGCAAGTTAGCGAGGTTAGATCTTCTGATAAACGTCATATACAGCCAAGTCCGTTTGCCCTAGGTTTAAACTTAAGGAAATTAGCGTCATATACGTCATGAAAAGTACAAGATTAAGTTTGAAACATACAGAGTCTAACTTGAAATAGAACCAATGACAGCTTGTAAAATCAGAGATTCGCCAAACACGATGTTTTATCAATCATCAAACAAACTAAAATTGGAATTTGAGAGAAAAATAACCGAGAGCTTATAACATTCACAGCATCAAGCCATTTTCCCCGTAAAACGAATTTTGTTTAAGGAGATAGTAAATCCATTAAGAGAAACATTTCAAATATCGTATGCATCTTTAAACGAAATCCATTTTTGGATTATTTTTTGTTTGATTTCTTAGGTAACTTTTCAAAGAGCCCAAGATAAATTTGTCGAAAACAGAAAATAAATTTCGCTTTTAAATGACTTGAGACGTAATCGGTAGAAAATCTCTACGCAGATGATTTGGTTTAAGCCCTTGACCTTTACCGGGAAAGGAACGAAATCTGTTTCTCATTATAAAGTGGAATGGGACATTTTAATGCCTTCTAAATTCCACTTGAAATTAATCGATATCACCAATCTATGTAAGAATCTTACTTTTCGATTAGGAAAAAAAACAAACAAGCAATTCCGAACTAAAGGAAATCGATACCACTAAATGGTAATTCACCTGTTCAAAGTAATCAATTTCCGGAAAAAGACACGAGTAATGAATTTCTTGTATAGCTCGAACGCCACTTCAGTCTTACTTAAATAATGGCGACCACCTGTTTAGACATCATCAATGAGACTCGATACATTAGCATGCAAATCTCGTTCGAGGTAATTGAAATTCAAACTACAGTGAAAAGGTAGAGGAATTTAATGTATCGAAAGCATCGAAATCACTATTGCTCTTGTGTTGATTAAAAACAAAATATTAAGATATTCAATTATATAAGCATCGAAGCAATAATACTCTTGTGTTGATTTAAAACAAAATATTGAAATATTCAATGATTTGTTCTTAAAACTCGGAAATACGGGTTATTTAGCGAAACACTCTACTTAAATATATCAAATGCTTGTCTTATTGATTACGAACAGTCAATTTACACAAAATATGATCTAAATGTACTGTAATACAAACTTCATATGCTTGACAAGTATGAGTACACAAAGTAGACTTGTGTATGATCAAATAGCAAGGAGGATGTAGTATTATTTCTTTGGAAAAATATATTTCTTTCTTGAAAATGCTGATTATTTTAGAACCAAAAATAGTTTTGTAATAGCAATGTATACTTCTGGAAACACGTTTTACTACCTAAACATACATACAAACAAATATACATATGTTAAGATTGCACGCTCGAGATCGTCTAGGCCATGAAAACCAAATAGTCAATCGCGCGAAACCTTCAATAATTAACAAAAATTTACCAGATATGTTAATACGAACAGATCAGGAGAGCTACTATCTCCTAGTCTTTGTTTGATTTCAGTCCTATCACAAATGGACTGTTAAGTTCATGCTTAATGTCGCCTCCTGTAGTATCAAATTGGTATAAAATGAGATTATCTAGACCACGCCATCAAATACTCGTCAGGGTTGTGGTCAGTCGTAGCGTTGTAATCTTCCATTATATAATACCTTGGGGCCAGGGATTCGACACCATCAAGGGACAACCCCAACCAACTAACTGTTGAATACCAAAAGCTCCGGTTTGAGAAAATACAAATGAAAAAGACATAGTTACACCAACGTCAAATTACAAAACACCAATCACTTGTATACCATACGCTCACTAAAGAGCTTGAAGATATATTAAGACAATTGTGAACTGTATTACCTTCAACGTGAAATAACTCCAATAAGCATTATATCCAGGAACACTCTTCGTCAAAAGTTTTAAAATTGTCTGACGTTGAAGTTGCAGGACACTAACCAATGTTATCAGTGTGATTCTAAAACTTCCAGAAAATGAAATCCACAGGTAGGAAAACAAATACCATCAGCTGTTTAGAAATCACAGACATATATTTTTATCACGACATTCATGAAAAAGTCTAAGTGATATACAATTTCTGATCCAATGAAAATCTTGGTAATTCAAAGTTTATCATAAAAAGCCGCGTGTCAGTTAAGACGCTATCGGTAATAGTGGCGAAATAACGACAAATGCTAACCATAGATATTGTGGCCGTCAATAAACTGCTGACGTCATTGGTATCATAACGTCCGTAGCTCTAACAACCATATCAGCTCTTAGTGAGACAACAAAGAGGCAGGCGACGATACTCATTATTGGCTATAAAGATTTAAATCAAAGGATGTAAAACTGATACGAAAATGACAATGAAAGCGCCAGTTTAAATATGAAACATAATTCTTTCCTATTATGAACAAATTGTCTGGTTTCAGAAAGTAATATGTATTTCAGCCGTAAAAAAACGCCAGGAAAAAAACCCAGAAAGTTTTGGGAACCTCAATATTTAATTCTACGTGTACAACCTCCGACTATACATTCTAGAACATTTTGAACCCAAGTATAGAGTTAATATTTCTGGACTAATAAATCTAATTTAAGACAGTATTTTTACTCATGTGCTAATGAAGCGAGACCTAATTGCTACTTTTAAAAACATCAATATCCAATGATAATTTCAAGTTCAATAATTAATGAAACAAGCTACTTGTAGAATCCACCGCACATCTTTCTGGTCATCCAACATAGACATTTCTGACGAGAAGCTGTCGATAAAACCGTAATCAGAATAGGAAAGCAATAACTGAATTACTAATGTAATTACTAGACTAATTGAGTGGAAACCTTACGGCATTCACACAATTCTTGTTAACCTTTGCTGTTTCTTGATTGTGTGAAACTCTTCACAGATACAATAAATTGCCATAAACTATTTATAAATTCCATTTTCAGAACTACTGCCTTAAATAGTTGCATTCAATAGTTCGATAAATGTGTTTATTGTGTATATGAAAAAAATCTAACCTTACTGTTTTTACCAATGGATTAATGATTAAAATCATTTCAAGATGACAAATATTTTTTTTTTTCCTTATTTCCTTTTAAGTTTATAATCCTTTTCTATATAACTTGGAAATAAAATTGAATTACAATTAAAATCGTTTTTGTTTTAAACTGCTTTTAGGATAAAACTCTTGCGTAAATAAGCATCCGATTCGTTAATTAAACTGATTTTTAGTTGTCGAGTGGCCAGGTGCTCTTTTCTTACCTCGGATCGTCGGTTTCTCCTTCCGAGTAGCTTTACTGTTGAAGCTCCCAGTTCCGGTTTAATTTAGCAAGGATCCAGTCGATTGCCCTTTTTATATTGCACACTAGTATATAAATCTAGGGGTCGAGCGATAGCGAACCCCTACAACTGATTTAATTTCCGATCAAAGTCATAAGCGGGGACCAAAACAAGTGTGTCTTTACAGCTTCTAAAACATCTGTCATTTCAAAGTGTCGACAGATCGTCGATGACAAGGGAAGGTCGACTGAGGGGAGGAGGAGTGCAATGACGGACGGGAGAAGCGATGGACAGCACGCGCCCCTCAATAACACAGCCCACCTGACGGACACCCAGTCGACAGCACAGAGGCTTGAGCACGGCACCGCGATCTTATATATATCAGCAATCAGCACCAGCTCGCAATCGGTATCGGTTCTCATTCGGGCCCAGACAGGGGACATTTCTATCCTGTTTTTATTGGACGGGGCAAGTATGGGCCGTGTCACCGATCGCCAACGGTGATATGATTATTAATGATAATTCAATAATTGAAGATTATGATTGAGGAATCATTATCTACCATTGGTGCTAGGTAATGAAACAGTTCGCGTGGGAGAAATCCCGATAAATAGCGTAGCCCTGAGGTTAGTAATTTTGTCCTCCTGACCTCTGGACGGAACTGGGTCATTTAAGTCGTTGTTAGTTTACTTGGTTATTTCATACATGTTATTTGGAGCAATTTGAATGAATTTAAATCTGCTTAATAAAACTCAGCATTTAGTTCAAATTATTGTATGTATTTTGCTCGCTTGTTCAATGAATAGGATAGTAATCTTCGATTAATGGTCTGTGGTATCTAACGTTACATTTATGACGTCATAATAATAATGACGTCGACAAGAGGGCCATGTCATTAACAGTCCACATGAATGCCATCTAACCTTGGTAGGGTCAGTTAGTGCCACGGAGTTGTATATATTGAGTCTTGAAGCAAAAAAAATTAAAAAAAATCTTAATCTTAAAGGAGCACTGATGTATGCGATTAATCTAAACCTGTATTTTTCAGTCTTTTTTTAGATTATTAATTTATCATTTATCTGTCATCCATTATTTTAATAGGGCTATATAATTTCCACTGCAAATTTTTCAACGAGCATAACTAAGAAATTGCGTTCATAGGGTTATGAACGCAATCAGATAAGCGTCATTTTAGATTTTCCCCTCCCACCGCGATTTACACGAGACAACCGTTAGAAGTAAACATTTTGGTGACTTTAGGCTTCGTTTGAACTGATTACACAGACACTTCAATATCGAAAATGAAAGGGAGTACCTTTGTTTAGATCAATAATAACTTAATATTTAGAATGTTAATATAAGGATTGAACGATATTTTTTCAATGTTCATGCCGGTATGAAATTTGAAAAAAAAAAAAAGTTCTATTATTATATCTACTCACTGATATATTTGTTTTTTCAAACAAACAAATCAATTGTAACTCTTAAATACGACGTGTAATGAACACGTTGTAATCTGTCACAGTAATATCTACTTCGACCTTGTTTTCCATTCACCGAGATAAGAAAATTGGTCTGCGGGGTTGGTGGTGTGGTCTGTGGCTCTCCGACAGTACGGCTATAGGTACATAAAGTGTAGACAGATTAAAATTGCTTTCTCTCCTGCAATTACATATTGCGCCACAAGAAGGTAACCGAATCGATCTTACGAGATTTTCACGCACTCTGTGCAGAGATTTGCAAACTAGACCAGATGTGAGCCCATACCTTCGGGGTCGTTTTTTTAACTTTCCCAGTTTTCTCCGTCTCATCTTGCATGAAATTAGTTTTTGTATAATATAATCTCATGTGGCTATATACTTGTTAACCTCTACAAAATAAGGTCTGAACAAGTGACGCTAAAAGGAACGTTTATTCGGGGAAATATCAAACATGTGTACTATAAGTAATTGTTCTCAAGTTGTTAAACGGTTCAATTAGTGCAACTTCGACCATTTATATTGATTAAAGTATAGTGGATATTATCGATTTCTTCGACAAACAGGACTGAACAAGACAGTATCAGTACAATAAGGTAATACACGTCTATGACACAGGGACCCGGCACGTTGACGTACACCTAACAACAATAAATGCTATGACGTAAGCACTTGTAACGTCATTTCCGGCATAACCATTTGAAATGTACACAGCTCTAAAAAGATGTAGTTTGAAATTTTGCTATATTGTGAACACATAACCGCTAGCCACAATCAGTACTAAATAAGGTCAACATTATTCAGGTGACTAATTCAATATCTCATCCAATCAGAGGTCAGAAGGGCCATTTTCGATTTTGAATCCCCCCTCCCTGTGAAAAAAAAGGGGGGGGGGGAGAAGTAGTAACATTTGGTTAGGTCTACACGCACCAAGCCTGGTTAAAAGTTGCCTTGTCGAAATTAATTAGACTATGTCTACGCAATAATCAAAGGCAATGGTGGTAAACTTTGAATTTGGTCGAAAAAGAAGAGAAAACAATTTGTGGGTGGGTTGCTATAATCATTAACACTTTTGTGTTAGTGAATCATGAGAAAAAGGATTGATTGTCTCGTCCCCTAGATATATATGTTTGACCGATTGGGCGTGTCACCCGGACCTCCGTTTGACGTCAATATATACTGTAAATATTGATATCAACCTATTGACACGTATAAAACAGTGTAATTAAACGTGTTTAATTGCTCTTAAGTTGTTAAATGGTTCAAGTATTGCAATTTAAACAATTAACCTTATATAAATAGGTCGTCTTATCAATGTCTCTGGCAAACAAGATTTCTCCCAAGCGTAAGCATTTGTAAGGGACAGACAAATCGATATAATAATGGTAATTACGAATTTGTGACACAGGGGCTAGACACATTGATGTAGAACTAAAAGCCTGGATGTAAGCATTAGTGACTCAGGGGCATGGCACAATTATACAATAATAAAAGCCTGTACATAAGCATTATTGACACAGGAGCATGACACATTTATAAAATAGTAAATGCTTTTAAGTAAACATTAGTTACACAGGGGCCTGGTACATCTATACAATAAAAAAGCCCGAACCTAAACATTTATAACACAGGGGCCTTGTACATTATACAATAGTTACACAGGGCCTGGTACATTCATGCAATAATAAAGGCCTGGACAGACGTTTTTGTGAAACAGGGCATGGTATATGAATAACAATTTTCTTGATGTAAAGTTTTTGATACTGAGGGACCAGATATTTGGTGACAAATTTTCATGAATATGTAATTATGATCGTTAGCATGACTTGTGATTTGTAGCCTCAGCCATGACAATTCCACGTCCACCTGACAAATGCTATCCAGCTGATGTAATCTCTAGCCCGGAGTCCGGTGACGGTCAGTGCTCTATCACATACGACCAGAGCACTGCTGTGCCGAATTTCGCGTATACCTACAGATCAAGCTTAAAACATTAAAAGGCTAATGGCGGTCATGTTGGGATGAAATAACAATGCAAGCACTTATCAATTTCCATAAATTTAATCCCTCCAAAGTTGAAATATAAGTACAATACGTTTGCATATCTTCATAAAAGCGATGTTAATTATTGGACTATTAATGCAATGGTAATTATTGGGCTGTGAATGCAAAATTAACAGGATGACGTCATAATGATGTATCAGGAAATGGCGCAATTATTATGGGGGACATCTTGAGTGTTATAGATACAGTGTAGTCCGTTATGATTTGAGGACATGTCGCATGACTTCTTCATCAATATGGCAGAAATATGATAAATTTGATACCACTGACTCTTTGTCTTCAACATGTATAACACATTCATCTTTTTTCTATAGATACGAATTTGTATCAATGAATTGATTTTGTATGAAATTCAAAAATTCCGAAAAGGCTTAGATAAGAATGTATTTGCTTTAAGTGCAAAATGATAATCCAGTAGTATTCTTTTCGCTTAAACTCTAAACACTGTTTTCTAAGTAAGTGATTTAGACAAATTGAAATGATTATTAGATAAGATCTGTATCAGATTGTCAAGTGTTTGTGATATTTATTATATGATTGTTTGCTTTAATATTCATACACATGCCACATTGACTGTGCTTTTTGTTTTACTAGAACGTGATTCATACTTTCACGTATATATTACATAATGTATATTTAACCCATTTTGCTCGCTTCGCCGACGTTAGCTTTTAAAACTTGGTCATTGCCCGACCCTTTAAAAAGCGAAACACTATTAATAAAACTGATAACATAGATTTTAAAAGATTTGGGTATTTCCTAAATTGTTTAGAAATTCAATCTTTTAAGCAAGAAATTGATATGGACTCAGAATACAAAAAATGTAATCATTATCCAATGTAACGATAGTATTTAAACCCAATCATCAAGCATAGTTAACGTTGTGGAAACAGGTGATTAGCATCGACTACAGGTGAAAATATAGACTTATCTCAACCCACTTACCCATTTAAAAGATCATAAACAAGGGCTTTGCATCGCTTGCGCATTTCGTCCTTTTATTGTCTCTTGGGGGTCCGACCTCCCCGCTATTGGGGGTCTACCTGCCCTGACCTCGAATACCTGGTCATATTAACGAAGAAGCGAAGATCACCCGATGCCCTGGAACCATTCAGGCTATTGTGTATTGTTTAAAGGTTCTATTGTTAATTATATCTCATTAGGCTGACCGTACACGCTGTATCCTCGGGACGGTGTTAATGGTTATAACACAAAGGTTAGGACGTTCTTTGGAAAAAAAAGTGATCAGCTTGCTAACAAGAATCAATAATACTTGGCGTTTACCACCCCATCAATTATATATTTTTAATTCTTAGCTTATTTACTTTTCTGTTTAATTAAATGTTTATAACGTACGCTACCCCACGCGTGGTCTAGTAACAATACACTAGGTCAAAAGGTCAACAGGTCAAACTATCGGTTCATGGTTTACAGGAGGCGTACTATATTTTTTGCTTGCGCTGATTGTCATTCCGTTCCTTATAAAATCTTTATAAAAAAAAATATGAATTCTAAAAAAACATATATGATACATATTTATCTTTATGTATGTTCCAAGGAGGCGATGCCAGATGCCTTCTGACTGTGATTTTGGAACGAGGAAGGGGTTGTTTGGTGCATAGATATTCGTCCGCTGATCAAAATGGCAGTTGATGACGTCGTTGGACATGGGTCATACAATTACTAACAATTTTCATACAAACAATTGTTTATGCACCTCGTTTTAGGGATTAGACAAAATTTAGTTTTTAGCACATGTGAAAAACAGGAACAGTCAATGTCAGTACTTCCTTACTATCCGTTCGTTCCATGTCCAGTTTTAGTCCATATGACCACAAACGCACGGAGACAAACGGTAGACCTAAAGGTAGACAGCTACATTTGTAGTTGAACCTGCCGAACTCCCCATCGAACATACAAATGTACGTAAACAAAAGTAACGGTGTTGACCTCGAAGCTAATTGTTGCCCGTACTTTTGTCTTCAAGAAGTGAAAGTGATGTACCCACATATTTCACATATTTTTTCCAAATCAGCTTTCGTCATCTTTTAGAAAATCGTTTACATATTTTGGTTGCGACCCTTTTCACATTAGGTGGGAAGTAATGTTTACTTTTCGTTTAATTAGAGAAAGGTTACAAGCTATATTGTTCATGAGCGATAAACTTTTCTTTCCTAGGATTATGCTGATGATGCTGTTTTAACCAAACGTTGTGGTTACAGCCTTTTAAAATATTGATATTCATGTTATTGTTAGATAATGATTTGTCCATAGATTGATTACTCGACTAATGAATGGTAAATACATCGATCGGCTCGTTGAAACGCTGTGGCCACACACAAGGTCAAACGACATACGAATTAGCTACGCAAACCTCTTTAAGAAGATTTAAAATGAGAAAAATAGGCTTTAGAAATATGGCCACCTGCTAAGCCATACGGCTTAGAGCTTGGTACAGTAGTTCTATTAATTCCCAAACGTTACCTAATGTGTCGGTCTGGGAAGTTGTGCATGCTCCGCATTTTACGGAAGCGATTTGGATACCATTTAAGATGATGAAAACAAATTTCGAGTTCTCTATGTAGAATAGTGTGAAAACGTTAGACTCATCGTAAAGCTTGTACAATTCCCTTTCCAAAGATAAACAGCTTTACGAGATTGGTAGAATATTAAAGAATTTAGAAACTGTTGAAATTCACAGTTATATAGTTCTCGTTCGTTTAATTTTGTCTCAAAACCGACAGACAAATACACTTAACATGTCTTACGAGAAGGTTCCGTCAGATGTTGCCTATTCTACATGTCCTGGAATGTTGTTGTTTTGGCTGTATTCATACCGTAACAAAAAAACGCATGTCCAATAACAAAGTGACAATAGAATTAATGCGTTTTGTCTCCAGAAGCAGACCCTATTTCCATAAAAACTGTCGGTGAGTCCTGATGGCAGGTTTCCAATAAGGTACGGAGGTATCCATTGTGTTCATCGAGTGTCGGAGACAGGTTTGGAGGATGGTCATCCCCACTACTGACCGGGGAGTAGACAGGAAGCTTATACATGCATATTCCTAATCAATGAATTGCGGCGCCTTTTCCACTGACATTGCCGTTTCCTGCTCACGATTTACTTTTAGATAATTTGTAATAGGCTCTCACCATAAACAAACCCCTATGACTAACGCTTAGGTAAGTTGTATAAGGCTAGGACAATCAGCCAGATCTAAAGTCACTATTTAATTGATTTTAACTTTGCAGTTACCATCTGCCCGTCTCTATAATAAAATATCAAGAAACCCCTATGACTACGATAAGGTAAGTTGTATAAGGCTAGAACCATCAGCCAGGCCTAAAATTACTATCTAATTGATTGTTAACTTGGCAGTAACCATCAGCTTGTCTCTATAACGAAACCTCAACCAGCTCATATGACTAACGATTATAACCAAGCAGGCAGAAAATGACTATTTAGTCATTTGAACTTGAGTGTAACTATTCGCCAGTCTCAATAACGAACCGTCAGGCAGTCAGCATGACGATAATTAACAAAGCTGTAACCATCGACAAGTTCCCGATAAGGACGTAAAGATCATAATCCTCATTACAATGCACAACAGCAAAACAATATTGAAGTGTCTATAAACCATAATTCGAACTCAGTATTAGGAAATTAATGCAAAATTGAACAAGGCAAAGAATTACATGGATACCATTCAGAAAGCACATGTATAATAAGACCAGGTGTTCCGGAGTGTAAGCGTCTTCTGCTCCAATGACCCGTCGTGTAAATCTATGTCAAACCTAAGTAATGACGCATCCTCACATTGAGAACTCGACTAGTGACACCAAAGCAACAAAGCACACTAATGAGCATAAACAAACGTAGACCTCGGGATCACTCAAAGAAATTGCATAGCTTCCTATGAGATCATGGTGGCGACCATTCAACTTATCAGTTGCTTCCATCAATCTGCATCATTGGAAACCCGGTGTAGTACGTTTGTCCGTCAGCAATCAACTGCGACTTATAAACAGCGAAGGTAAGGGAAAGAGGGATGCTACTATAAAGAAAGGGAAAGATCGAAGTCAAATGTCTAACGATTTAGAAATAATGTGATATAGGCTGTGATAAACAGCCAGTGCCTATAACGATCACTGGTAAGTAAGGCCAGATAATTAAAGAAGAAGAAATAAACAGATTGTTGTTTGTCAATACAAACGTAGTAATAAATGGTTTTATAAGAAGACTGTACTGTCGTACTTCTGTAATCAAGACGCTTTAATTCCAATGTTAATTTCTGAATTGGCGAATTTCTTAATTGTTAAATTATGAATATCTACTTTATACAGGATATCTAACCTTGTCTTCAGCAATACAAAATCACGAGTGTGGCTAATATTTTGATATCTTTCACGATTTCATCGGAACATGAAACGACGCATCAAACTGACAATACAATCCAGACAACCCTATGCGACAAAATATAGTCCTCTCTGCACTAATTTTGATAAAATGTAAAAATTCATAATTAAATTCCATTAGTTACCTAATTAAATTAGGTAGGCACCTAAGTTAATATTTTTGATAAAGTATGCCAAATTACTATCATAATTTAACTATTTAGAAAAAGTTCCGTCATAAGCGCCGAATCTAAAATGGTGCCGAGTCGGAAAAAGCAGAGTTGTTCTGTCACCACTTATATATCCTGATGATAAAATAACAACACCATACCTATGTAAGTTTTCCTTTTGACACTGGTTCTCTTATACATTCTGCCGCCAATTGCTTAGCCTAACTTGGGACATTAAGACGCTGACACCGTGACTCTTCTCCGATCAAATAGTTAGAATTGCTGACCTGCATAGCCTGCTGGCTTTCATGAAACTGAAAGTTGATTTGTGGAATAA